AAATTTTCATTGCAGTACATTTTGCAAAGCTCATGATTAATACATTTTAGCGTAGAAGTTTATAATTTCACATTAAATAGCATTCACTTTTATTCCGACAGGAAAAATCGCCCCTCTCGGATTATCAACGTTCGTGACATTAGAAATTTTAAACAAACGAACAAACAATATTTGTACGACTTAACAAAAGTGAATCACAACCAGAAACATGAATATATGCATACCGTGTCAGTTTCCATTCTCCAAGTTTAAAGACCAAATTTACAACATTTTCTCTCAGCATTTCTGTTTGACATTGTTGAGGTCGAAGAGGCGATTTCCTGTTTTTCCCCCTTTACATTCCGCAATGCAACTAAAAACACTCAAAAAGTTATTTATAAATCTCATTTTGATTATACGCCACGAACTCGTAAATCTTCTAATTTTCCGATTCAATGATGTTGAGCGAACAACAATAGCCGACGTTACAAAATCTTAATTGCAACCAATCACCATGTTTTCTGTCTCAAAGAAGACCACTCGGAAAGCAGCAAAACGCTGATAAATGTGTAAAAATGGTTTCATTATGTCAGCCTCTGTGTAGCACCCAAAGCAATTGAATCGGAAACCTAGAATAATCACTCAAAACCATAGTATGTAAGAAATAAAGATATAATCATAACTCAAGTATTACCTATCTTAGGTACCTTACTTTGCAAGTTTGCTCAGAACCCTAAAACATGCTTGTCCTTGACGGTACATATTCGAAGTTACATATTTGAAAACACGAAGTTCCGCGAAGAAGTACAGTATGAATAAAAGTTGCTGATCGCGATTAAAAGTATTGAAAGTTTGAACCTTAACTATTCCAATTCATTGGGTGTGGAGCTTTACTAAATGGAAATCGGGATATGTGATTTTCTTCCTCAAACAGATAAAAACTAGTTCAATTTATCCCAGCAAATAACAGCTCTGAAGTGGCTAAAATTAAACTTTTATCATAATTTTTTCTGATGCTAACCATGGAATTATGATACCCATTAGATCCAATTCTTCATCCAAAATTCTGTTTCACTACTAAGACACAGGTTATGCAGACTGGTCACAAGAACAGTTTTATTAAATACCTGAGCTCACACGGCGAGAAAAACTATTTAACAAATGGCGTTTAGTAGCGTCATCAAAAATGTTACAGTGCGGTATGCCATATTATGTGCACATTTCCTTAAATTTTATTAACTTGAGTTTAAACACAGAAGTGTAACACAAATAATTCGTTTTGATGAATTACATGAAAGCTCAACCAAATCAGCATTAATGGTATTTCAATGGCATCGGAGCTGTTTCTTCTAAGTATCGATTTTTATCGAAAATCATAGACATCGAAACATTTTACTGTCTCCAACTTTCAGGTACATAGAAAATATTTTTTATGCATATAAAGGAATAATATGCTGCATGTGATTTTTTGTATGCTCACAAAATTGACTAAGTACGCTTTAATTGCGAAATTTGAGAAACCATGCATTCCCTTCAGATTATTAATAAATTAACATCTATTTCAATTTTTCTTTTGAAATATCGTAGCTTTGGAGGAATATTTGCTCCATTCTTAATCAGGATACTTGTTTTGTTCAGAACCAGCTGCCTCAGTCTTTAAAGTGTTTCGGAAAAATTTGTTTATTGTTGCAAATTGAGAGATACCGTTTGCTGATTGCATGTCTCGGAATGCCGAAATTCATTTCCTTCTGATTAAGAAAGTCTGTTAACGCTAAGTCCATCATAGCGGAAGCGGTTTATTAGTCAAAAATTATCAAATCTTCTACTGATTTATCCACTAGTTAAACTGTTGCACTTCTACTTCTTCGTTTGCTACTGGAAGGCAATAAGTTTAGGGTTTATGCTAAATAAGTCTTGGTAATAGATTTGCTCTTCTTATAGAACATAGATTTTTTGTACAGTAGTGACTGCAAAATGTTTGCCGATAGTTACTTTACTTAAATTGGTGAGAAGCAAGTGCACTATGAATAAATCCTGATAGTTAAAATTCGTAATTTCCTGTAGGTTTAAACCCTTACTTTACCTGACTATAAAACTTTTCCTTTTGTCTTGAGAGGTACGGTACTTTGATTGCATTAAAGCAGTTCATTTGCGATATGGTATTCGTACCTGATGGAAACGGCAGGTACAAAATTTCGTGATCTCGAATTATCAGCGACATAAAATGTTTTATGTACACAATGGAGACAATTCAATCTCGATGAGATTGCTCGGAAAATTGACAGATTTATCTTTGCATATATTAAATAAATCCTGCTAATGCATCCGGTGCGCTAATGTGCTTACGAGTTTAGACACTACTCGTCGCTCTCCATTTGCGGAGGCTACGTCTGAATATATTTAGATTTTCCGTTTTCACTTTATGCAGAAAAACCTTCCTTTCCTTCCTGCTATTTCTGGAATCTAGTTATCATAAACAGAGAATGAAAGAAAATCATTTTCTCACTGCTTTTAAATCGATATGCTGAATCTGGTTTCCTTCGCATTCAGAAACCGACTACCAAATAGAAATCGTACGTGTAACAGAGCGAATTTCACATTTCAAATTTAGCGCAGTGTCTATTAGCTGTGACAGATGATCTGGTCGGCCATTTAGTAATTTAATTTGTACTTCATTTATCAGGTGATGGAAATTTTAGATACATTATTTGAAATAACTCGACGAAGCAACATTCGTACACTTTAAGTATGCCCAAAATATAGGGTAGTGGCCTGCTAAAAAAATTTTTGGAATGATAGAAACTTTTATTACTTAAAGAAACTGATATGTAGATAAATGCCACTGATGGAAGTTTGTGAAAACCGACACAATATTACTTTATTACCTTTTCCACTTATTAAATTTACAGTATATATTTACCATCTGATACAACTGCATCTGTAGCACATTTGAATTGTGACTACTTAACTCAAACTCGGTTCCATTAAAAGTCGTAACTTCATATGGAAACAATTATGGAAACAATGGCCTTCCCTGCAGGCAGTTTACTTGAGATGCAGGATCATGGCGGATCTTGCTCTGGATTGGCCAGCGAGCGCGTACTCATCAATACATTTTAGTTTATCTGGAGTAGACGTAAATCATTTTTAGTTCGGTAAATCGCTCATGATATTAAGTTCAAACCTGTCTTGTTCTACGTAAAACTTCTTCGGAGATCCATATACTTCAATATGTACTACTTTCACTTTCAAAATATTAAATCAAGTAGTTACTAAGTATTGTTACATAAGCTGTAAGAAGTTTCTAAGAGCATTGTTACAAAGGTTCTTTGTTTTAATGACGGAAATAACTTGATGTAAGATTTAGTAATAAAATAAAAACAAACAATCTGTCACCTTTAAGCCTGTAACGAGACGATCATAGTCACAGTAAGCTTTCTACTATGTTAATGCTGATAATAAAACTTCATACAAGTAGTAGGCTTACTCATGATGATTTTAAAACAGCAAAACTATACAAAGGCCATCTGTCGTCTTAAATGTACTTTTACACACGTACATAAAACATCTGTAAAGAAATTACATCTAAACGCAACGTTTAGCTGCCAGATTTCTAGTCATCATTAAATCTTTGTATAACAGCCGCCTGATCAGCAAGTTCTTTTCCGACTTTCGTTCGCATATAGAATATTGGACAGTCCCGACTAAAAGTACGACATAAGCAATGAGAAATTATCAAACAAAAAATTATAAGTAAAATGCAATAAATACAATGAGGCAGACTTCACGACGACGATTGCATATTTTCAGATTTTAAAGTCTAATTTACCGCGATCACACTAGTTGTAATGTCATCGTGCTCTAACAGGTAAATTACTTTATTATTAGATTTCTTTGTCAGCAGAAGTATGGTATACCATGGAATTTCCACACATTAGGCATATGAATTCTTGTTAAGTCAATGATACAAAATCAAAATGTGTTAGAATGCCGAGACTGTAGTAATATGAATAATCTTTGTGAATAAAAATACCACAAAAATATTAAAATGGATTCCTGATAACGAAAAACTCGTTTATCTAAGTGTCTAAGAGTTGGTCCGTTTACAATGTCCTTCTAAGGAACGAAAGAATCACGTGAAGAGCGAAAGACATATGCATATTGATACCTAAGCGATGCCATATAGATGTTTTACTATATAACAGGTCTGGCAAGATGAACTGAGCAAATCAGGATATATTTATGGAAATAAAAGACCAGGAACAACAACGTTTCAAGGAAGACTGTTTGTATTAAAATGCATGGCTCTGGTTTTAAAAATAGACAGCATCGTCCACCAAAAGTTCTTCTTAAAACGCTCTTTATTTATTTTGTTCTTGAAAGACCGGCGTACTGTTGTTGCTGCCAACGTCATCTGGGATATCAAAGTTAAGGGCAGAGAAACTACGCGAATGATGCCTGAGTAAGAAAAGACCGCAAGGATGTCGAAGTGGTACCGGTCAACTGTACGAATGACGTCAATCCAGCAGCC